TGCTGTTTGTAGCCGCCCACTCTGGATCAGACGCTACTATTGTCGAGTCAATAAAAGAATGGAATGGAATAAAAAGAATGGAAATATTGGAAACCAATAAGACACGAAAGCTGCTATACCTAGGGTATGTTATTCGTAATGGAAGATATAACATATTTAAATTAATTATACAAAGGAAAATCAAGGCCAAGAGAAGTGTAAGAAGGAGAAGAATCTCATGGTTGCCTAACTTGAGGGAATGGTACGGATGCATATAAATCGAACTGTTAAGAAGAAGAGATAAAGTCAGAAAAACTGAAACATACCATAAAAGATAAAGTACCCATGGTCGTCTACATAGCATAGGAAGATAGATAGATACGTAGATAGATAGATAGATCACGTATACGGCGATGCGTATCGTAATCTAAAAGTGGATCAAGTGACAGAAAATATTATCAAAAACAATCCAAATTTATTTAATAATAAATATCCCATATGCTCACGAAGGCCACCTAGAAAATGTAATCAAACGGCTATGGTTAAATCTAAAATAAAGATTAAATTACACCTGATTTTTTTCTGAAGTTAATGGCACTGGCAAAGCCAAAAGGCCAGTAATATTTTCTCATAGTTTTATTATCCACTGTTTACATTATTATACATGATAATATTATATTCATGTTAAATTGGGATACAATAATTCTCTAGTGTTTGGGAAAAAGGGCATAAGTCAAATTTATACTATATTGACTTAAGTACACTGGCGACATGAAAGTTAATCAATTTAGTTGTAATCCAAAGGACATCTATGGTATTTTTAACCGCTTTAATCTCTATTGATCTAATAGACGCAAGTTGTGTAAAACCGGTTCTGTTTGGACAAACGGACTTATGTTGACTGAAGTCTTTTTTACCGCGGCAACCTAACAACCGTATATTTACACTTGCCAAGGACCTGCTGACTTAATTCTGTATGACCCGTTACAATAACAAACACGTATTGCTGTTCAGTGATAAAAATTTGTATTTAATTGTCTTTTTTACTAAACACTGGTAAAGAGTATACTACTGCTAAAGGAAAAATTTAGCAAAAACGTGATATTAAGAAGGTAGTACCATGCAGAATGAAATGCAATGTATGGTTAAATGCTGATTTAAGGAAAACAATATTTGATGAATATTGGCGACTTGGCACCCATGAACGCCAGATGAGTTTTATAAGTAAATGTGTCACTTCCCAAGAAATTAAATGTCGTCGCATAAGAACACCCAATGGCGGTAAGGAGAGAGTAGTAACTTACAAATACGCCTTTGAAATTGACGGACAACGAAAACTGGTGTGCAAAAATTGTTTTCAAGAAACGTTAGATGAATCCGAAACATTTATTAGCAACACACTTAAAAATAATGCGCAAAGTAAAACTGGTGTAGTCAAAGACTACAAAAACAAAACGTCTCCTGAACGAATACAACAAGTTATAGCCCATATAAACTCATTCCCCAAATACGAAAGTCATTATACACGCCGAGTGAATAGTAAGTTGTATTTACCTGTTGACCTTAATTTGACTAAAATGTGTAGACTGTACCGTGCAGCCACAGCTGAGCCAGTTAGTCGTACAATTTACGAAGTCGAGTTTCACAAGTTAACCTGGCTTTTAAATAGCCAAAAACGGATGTATGTCACAAATGTGAAGTTTTGAAAATGGAGTTGACTATCGTTTATGATGAGGAAAACAAAAATACACTTAAAGAACAACAAACAAAGCATCATGAACAAGCCGACTAGCATATACTTGTAAAAGTACGACAAAAAATTAGCAATTGAAGACCACTCAGTGTTGTGCTACACATTTGACCTACAACAGTGTCTTCCGACACCATATTTAGAAACATTGGTTTCATTTTACAAAAGAAAATATTGGACCTACAATCTTACAATACACAATTGTGGAAATGGTTTTGCTTAATGTTATTTATGGCACGAGTCGATGGCAATGAGAGGAGCAAACGAAATTGCTTCGTGTCTTTTTAAGGAGCTTATGAATTTACCACCCGAAGTAAAGAAAGTGATTTTGTACTCGAATACTTGCGGTAGACAAAATAAGAATTTCTACGCATGTTCTTAACTGTTCTTCAAATAAAAAATTCCTTAGAGGAAATCGATCACAAATTTCTTGTGTCAGGCCACTCACACATGGAATGTGATGTGGATCATTCCGTAATCGAAAAACAAGTGGAATGCAAATATCACATCCACATGATTGGGCGACACTAATACGATGCGCAAATAAAAAGAAACCTTTCCAAGTGCTTGAAATGTCACAAGATGATTGTTATGACTTTCAAGCCTTGTTGAAAAGTGTCTTTGTAAAAAGAAAACAAGATAGTGAAAAACAAAAATTTCTATGGCACGACTGCAAATGGCTCAGATACACAAAGGAACAGGGACTGATATATTATAAAAAATCACTTTAAGAAACAGAAGACTTCTCCATTCGCAATTTAAATCGCCATGGCGTCCGGTTGCACTCTCTTTATCAAAAAAATACACAGAGCCACTTGCAATCTCCAAGGCCAAGAAAGATGATCTCTTGGAATTACTACCCCTTATTCCAGATGTGTACAAAGGCTTTTATGAATAACTTGTACATTCAAATGCAACTGTTGACGTTGACCCAGATTTAGAAGACCTAGATCTAGACGCTGAAAATCCTGACTTCGAAGAGGTACATACGTAATAAATATTTGCAATGATGTATTTTACTTGTATTGTTTTTTTCAGCGATAAAACTTTATCCATTATTTTACGTTTTTGTATTTACCGGTGTTTCTTTATGTTATTCGTTTACTACCATACTTATTATCATTTAACCATAATAACAGTCTTGTCAATATTACTATACTTAATGGCGAGCATGTTAGTTTATATAGACTTAAGTCAGCAATCGCAATCAAAATCAGATCTAGAAGACTTAAGTCAATCAAAAATTATCAATTAGAAAAACAAAAACCTATTTTATTATTGTCTATTGGTTTGGTTAATATATCTTATTATAATATTAGTATAAATATAAGTTTAATTTAAAAATGGATTTATATGACAAGAATGAAACCTTTAATAAATCCTCCTAAAAGACAACGGATTTAGACTTATGCCCTTTTTCCCCAACACTAGAGAATTATTTTAGTGTGTTAGTAAATGCCTAAATACATTGGTTATTTATTTTAATTTTTATTGTTTTTTTATATATAAGTATATTTATAACATTGTACAGTTGCGGTCACGGAATAGTTTACACCTTACTTTTTATATTGTAATACTGTAAAATTGCAGTGTCGTACGGATTTGATAAATGTCAAAGTCAAAAAATTTCAAAACGTCAATGCTTTGATATAAGTTATTTAATATAAAATAGATTTAAAATAAAATGCATATTAAAAAAAAAGACTTCTTTATTTTCGTTATTAAGATCATAATCCATTTTATTCAAAAAACTGTTTTCTATATTTTTCATTTTGTAAAATATTTTGATATTTTAATTTTAATCTACCTATTCTAGCTAGTACACCACTGGCAACGTCACTTTGACGTAAAAGGTGCGTTTAAACGAAGTAAAAATTTAAAAAATGGGCTCCTAGATACGTGAACCTGTAAACTATTCCGTGACCGCAACTGTACCTTTTCTTTTATTTTTATTGTTAATTTCATTTTATTATTATTTTTTTAATGTTTAATAATATTCATTTATTGGTTTGATGTCTTTTGGTTCTTTTGTGTATATTTTTTGGTTTTTTTTGTTTTTTTTTTAGTTTTAGGCTTACAAATTCATTCATATGTCGGAATACTGCTTACAAAGTAATATTACTAGATTTGACAATACTAATATTATGATGTTATAAATACTATTATGCTCTAATGTCAATAGATTTAAAACATTTATTGGAAATTTCATTTGATAAGATATTAAATTTTCATAAAAATTATCAATTTCTACTTTTGTTAATGTGCTATCGCTGTCTGGTATACAGCCATACGATAAGAAACTGTAAGGGTGTCGACAGTAATGATGAATTCGTAAACTGTAGTGAGAAAGTAGTGAGAAAGCTAGTACTAGACAATACAGAAATTGAATAAATATCTTCGTACAAATACCTTGGAGCATGGATCACAGAAGATACTGATCAGACAAAAGAAATAAGATGCCGCATTGAAATTGCGCGGTCAACTTTTAATAGAATGAGAAAACTTTTTTGTAATCGCGATATCAATATATCGCTCTGGATAAGAATGCTTCGATGTTATATTTTCTCTACCCTTTTGTATGGAGTTGAAGCTTGGACACTTAGAAAATCCAACATTAAAAACCTAGAAGCATTCGAAATGTGGTGTTACCGACGCATTTTAAAAATATCATGGATGGATCGCAAAACAAACGAACAAGTTCTCGAACAACTAGGAAAACAATGCGAAGTTTTAAATTCCATAAAGATCAGGAAATTGGAATACTTGGGGCACATCATGAGAGGTGAAAAGTACGAACTACTAATGAATATAATGCAGGGTAAAATCAAAGGTAGAAGAAGCGTAGGAAGACGTAAAATCTCGTGGCTACGCAATCTCCGTGAGTGGTTTGGATGCAGTTCAATTGAACTATTCAGGCGAGTAACCAATAAAATTATAATTGCCAGAATGATTTCCAATCTCCGATAGGAGTGGAACTTGAAGAAGAAGAAGAAGTGAGAAAGGATACAAGTCGAAGAGTTGTAAACCAGATTCCATCTGTAAAATATACAAACCACGAGACCACAGATCTAATACAAATACTTTTCAGAAGTTCCGAGATTTGCTTAAAAAAGTACGCGCGCGGGCTAACCAAGCACAGGCCAAATATTAAAATACTATGTAGGTCGATGCAAAAAAGTATCCGAACTAACGTCAAAAATGATGTTTTTAAATGCTTAATTCGTGGATAAAAATTGAAGTTTTGGTAGGTATGATAGAACGGTTTACTTACCCTTTTCTTATTCTTATTACCAATAGATTTTTCTATGTATATTTGTTCCCTTTTCGATAAATTGGGATGAGCTGAAGGTCTTTCATATGAAAAAATAAGGAACGAGAGGCACCAAATTAGGGCCATAATATTGGAGGTATAAAATATCCAAGGCCAGCCAAAAGAACTGGCTGCTAAATATCCTGGAATAATCATGGCCAGTACTGTTGCCATAGGTCTTGCTGAAAAAACAAATAATATTAGTTATGAAATGCAATATTGCGTAATAAAAATCAAGATATTAACTTATAAAAATGCATGAACGTTCATTCATCCTGGCCTAAATTTAAAATAAACACTTTTATTGTACATAAAATAATTGTGTTATTTTTCATTCTCACCTGTTTGTTTTCTTAAATAATTTAATAGACAGAAAAATCTCAATATATTCGATAGACAAATCTTAATAGACTGACTAACTTAAAATTTTAAGTTGCAATTCAATTTTGGATTTGATACCAGTAGGTTACAAAAATTGCTGCATTCATACACATCATGAATATCTAGTACTCCGTAGATATTTTACATAGCGAAGCCAACGAACTTCCCCTCTGGCTACGATGTCAGCAATTCCTTTTGAAATATTCGGCTCGAATATTAGCTAATATAGATAATCTAACTATATTGAATATAAATGAACAACGTACACAGTTTCTAGACACACAGATAGATAGAGTTAAAACGGGGTTAAATGAAGTGGCGATAATTACCGTAGAAGAAATAATGAAAAATAAAAATGAAAAATAATAAAGCTCCTGGGCCAGGTGATTTACCTATCGAGTTATTCAAACATGCCACTGCAATAACATTAGAATTCCTTTGTAAAATGTTTAACAAGTGCCTACAAGGAGAAAGTATCCCAAGAGATTGGAAAGTCTCGTACATAAACTCCATCTACAAAAAGGGAAACAGGAATGACTGCAGTAATTACCGAGGTATCAGCATTACGTCATCCACTGGCAAACTGTATGAAAGAGTTCTGAAAGCCAGAATAGAAAAAGAGGCCACAGAGATCGAAGAACAAAGTGGATTCCGACCAGGGAGATCTTGTGTCGACAATGTATTTACTCTCAAACATCTAACGGAAAAGAGATTAGCAAGAGGACTAGAACTTCATGCCACTTTTATAGATCTCCGTAAAGCGTTTGACTCCATACCACTGCAGAGACTATGGACAACATTGGAAAACGCAGGTATAAATGCAGTATATATAAATGCCGTGAAAAAGCTATATCAAGATAACCAAGCTTATATTAAGGTTGGAAACCAAATTTCCAAGGGTTTCACCCAACCAAAGGGTGTCAAACAGGGCTCTTGCCTCTCCCCAACCCTATTTAAAATATATCTTGGTAATGCTTTAAAATATTGGATGAGAAAATGTAGCCGAATGGGCATATGGGTAAATGACACTCCTTTATACACAATCCTCTTCGCAGACGACCAGGTAGTTCTTGCGAGCACCTACAAGATATGACGTACATGATAGACAAACTAATAGACGAATTCAAAAAATGGGGATTAGAGGTTAATACCGAAAAGACACAATACATGAATATAGGAGGCATCGGTCAAGACATGGAAACAGAAAGCGGATTAATTAAAAACGTTGATCAGTACGAATATCTCGGAGTTACACTAAGCGAAGACGGGAGAGATGACAAATATATAACAAGAAAAATATAAAAAGAAAAAAACATGATAAAAACACTACATCCGATCCTGTGGAATAAAACTTTAACTAAGAAAATAAAGAAAAATATATATCAGGCTATGATTCAGCCAGTGCTGACGTATGGGTCAGAAGTATGGGTCTTTAACAAGAATATGTCACAAAAACTCCTCTCAACGGAAATGATGTACTGGAGAAGATGTTCCGGGTTAACTCTGTTTGACCACATAAGAAATGAAAACATAAGAGAGAGATAATGAAAGTAAAGAACACAATAATGGATACGATAGCCGAAAAACAATTAAAATGGTATGGACACCTGAGACGGATGAACGAAGAAAGGATACCACGAAAGGTTTGGAACTGGAGACCTACACAGAGAAATAAAAGGGGAAGGCCAAGAAAGAAATGGATATCCAAATTTCATATAGAAATGGAAAATAGAGGTCTTCAAGAAGGAGACTGGGCCGATTAGAAATTATATCGATTGGGATGCGAGAAGCGTCAAAAGTAAAGTTGCAATATATATATATATATATATATATATATATATATATATATATATATATATATATATATATATATATATATATATATATATATATAGATAATCTAGCCTTTAATTTATTATCTACTAACCTTTTTCTACCTACGAACTACTACGAACTACTACCTACGAACCTATTTCTCCTAATATTCAATCTCTTCCACAATATCTCTCACAGCTCCTAAATAAAATTGATGTTTCAGCCACAACTCCAATTTACAAAATTTACAACTGTTGGATGTGCTGCACACCAGGATGTGAGTAAAGATTTAATTAAATTTGCTCTCCTACACTCTTTGGCTGGATACATACTGCTCAATTCGTCTCTATTCTCAATGCCGGAAACTCATTATCACCAGAAAATAAAAAAGTAGCGACATGTTTTTAGCGTTTATCCATTCTCTCAAAGACATGTATACTGCATATCCTTTAGTTGTCTATCCAAAACTCTTGCGATAATTTATTATTACTGGAAGTATTAATTATCATGATATTATTTCCGTTTTATGTGGGAATCTTTGAACAGAAATTCGTAGACCTTTTGTACAACACGCAGCTTCTTCGGGAATATGAATGAAAATATACAATTAAACACCTACTTCCATTGGTTTTTTAAATATGATCCCAAGGTCTTGATGAGATAATTAGACCAAAATGCCTTCTAAGTTTCGTGATATATATCCCACGTATAAAAAGCCTGAGTATTCTTCTATGATAAAAAAACAAATTTTATTGATCCGACTAAAAATAGACCAAAAAGGGCAAAACATAAACATTTAATAACTTCCCTCGATTCTCCTGTATCTCTAAACTTCAGTGGCATTTTATATGTTACTCATATACTCTTGGACTGTGCTTATTTTAGCTACTGCTTATATGTGATCGTCTTAAACAAGACCTACAGATATAAGATTTTCGGCTTAATTAAGTTTAATTTTATCGATTGTAATGATTTACTTTTAAAATAGTTTATGTCAATGAAACTCTAAAAGTCATACGCACAAGATGAATTTGCCAGAAAATATTAATTTAGAGAACACAAAAAATGCAACAAACTTTGCCCCTCATACTCTCGGGTTTTCCTCTAAGCACATCAACATCACTCAACCCTCCTATCCTAATGGCAAACATAGATTAACCAATTTGGCCTAGCTCTTAAAACTTATAGCATGAAGTTTGCATTTCTAGTTTTGGCAACAAATATAATGCATTCAAATTACGCCTAAAAAACGATGAATTTAAACTTTCACATTACAAATTATCTAATATGTTTAAAACTGCTAGTTTTTGATTGCACAAGTCAGTTTTTTGAAACCTTACAACTTCAGCTGCAAACTCCACTCAATACCATCTTTGTGAAATTAATTTCTGTGACTTAAGATCGTGTGGAATGTGAAAGTTTAAATCCATCGTTTTAGGCGTATTTCAACTAACTCATATTTGTTGCTCGGATATAAAATTTCGTATTTTATAGGTTTTAAAGGTGTTCTAGCCATGAAAATTACATAACAAATTACATAACGAGATTACGAACAATCACTAAAAGTGATAAATTTTATTGACCTCATCGTAAATCATAAAAAATGGCAGAAATCGCTAAACATTTATTTATCTAACTTCTTATTCTTTAGGTACTGTCTCCTCTAAGGAGGTTGGTAATCATCATAGCTATTTTCACTTTTAAGATTGCAGCTCTGAACAAGTCGACGGAACTGCAATTATACCACTTTCTCAGATTGTTGAGCCAGGAGATGCGTCTTCTTCCAATACTTCGTTTTCCCTGTATTTTTCCCTGCATTATGGTTTGTAGCAACACATATTTATCCCCTCTCATAACGTGGCCGAGATACTGTAACTTTCTTATCTTAATCGTATTCATGATTTCCATTTCCTTTGTCATCTTTCTATTTATTTAACAGTTTTATATCAACTTACTCTATTTGCGGCAAAATTCAAAAACTATAACCAAAGCTGCACTCTTAACCTGTAAAACGTATTATGATCTTTGTCGATAGGACACTCTGATCAAAAGATATCGATCAAAAAGATATTAAAATTGATTTCACGCGCAATTTCACGGACGTTCTAAATGGCCGGTCGCTTCAAGGGTTGTTTCTGACAGAACGGTTTATTCTACGTCAAAAATACTGGTATATATTGTTGTTCAAAATTATCTCAGATATTTGTTTGAACAATTTTTTTTGTGGCATACAGATTTTTGAAAAATCGATTTTTTCCGTTTTCCCCTCCCTAGGAGGGGTTGTTGATGAGTAAGGAAAGGTAGCGGTGGCAAAGTTTGTTTCATTGTTTTTGGGGTCCCAAAAATTACATTCTTAATAAAATTGAGCTAGTTAGTTTTGTTTTTAGAGATCAAGTCACCACTGGATTAACATTATTGCAATAAGCAAGTTTTTTATCAGCTATATAATTATGTTAGTTACATCTATTTTTAATAAACTACACCTCTATTTAGTTGTTAGAAAACATATTTGCTTTTACTACATATAAGAATTATTACTTTTATTATAAAATTTGGTTAAACAAAATACGTCTACTAACCTGCGTAGACAGCTCCCCCAGAAACGCTCTCTCTGTTGGCGGAACCCAATGAGCTAATAAATGTTGTACTAAAGGAAACACGAATCCTTGGGTGGTACCCTGCAACACTCTTATCGCTATAACACCTTTGTCTCCGACATGGGTAGCTATAACAGGTGTAAGAAGACCTAGAAATGATGATATTCCTAGAGAGGTTGCTGCTAATACTTTCACGTTAAACTGTCGAACTAGAAATCCGGAACTTATTTGTAAAGGAACATATCCAATGAAAAATGAGGAGAGAATTACGTTTTTGTTGGTCCAGTTAAAAGTCTAAAATAAAAAAAAAACATTTAACATTTTTAGACTAAGTGTTAGGTTGTTAATTTTTTTTTTATTTAAACATAAAACCACATTTACCGCGCAGGGTTATTAGTGGATATAACAAATACTAGAAATATTACATTAAACACTGTACAATTTTTTAACATGCGAAAGGTCATGTCATTTTTTTGCTGTATTACTAACTACCATTCTACAATTTTTCTACATTCTACATTCTTACAATTGTACCGCAATTTTACAACTATTTTCCATTTTTCAACCCTTGCTACTCACATTTTAACTCTACTCCATTAGAAATACAGACAGTTTTAAAATAGCAAACAAGAACTCGTTCTCTTTCGTCTGCTGAGTCTAGCTAGACAGAAGGTTGGCTGACTCGCTGGAAGGTACGTCACGGAGTTAATTATGCATACGTAAGTGAAGAAAAAATGTCTGCCGACGCTTCAGGGCCCTGATTCTAATTGAGATTTCGACTGAAAACATGTTGAAATCAATATGGCGTCGTCGAAATGCGACTTTGCGAGCCTTGTGGAGTTCAGCTGAACTAATAAAAGGACGTCACTACTTTTCGATTTATCGAAATTAATTTCAACTTGAAGAAAGTGGTTGAAATTTAATTTTGAGTCGAAATTAATCTGACATGACTCAAGGACACTAAACACAGATAGAATTGATTTTGTCCTATGCTTTAATGTAAGAAATGCGTTGTTATGAGTGTGACGTAGCGTGTGGATACGTGTGGTTCGATACAAACTTGATAATCCGGCAAACGTAGAAGAGCTGAATCGTCTTGTATTTGAAGAAGATCAATGTGACACAAATATTTTATCCCAAGACGATTTTGACGAATTAGATGAATCGTCAACAGAGGATTATCTGGAGACAATGTCGATGGATTCTGATACCGATCATGAAATTGACGACGTAGATACAGAAGACATGGTCGGCGCCACAACGTAAACTTTTATAATGGTAAGTCAGGTTATGTAATAATTTTTTTGCTATTATATAAACAGTGTTTCATGTGCCACTTAATTTTTTTGAAATTCCTGTCGAATTTGTATAATACATATAAATTTCTCATCTCAAAATATTAAAAAAAAAATGTTAAAAATAAATTATGCTATTATTGCAGGTCAAGATGAAACAAAATGGAGGAAGAGACCCTGGGCAATAACTCAAACTTCTCCACATAATATTTTAGTAAAATGGCCAGGTGTTGCAAGCCAAATCGCAAAAGGCGCCAGAAGTGAATTGGACTGTTGGAGATTATTTTTTGATGACCGAATATTGTCTATACTGGTGGAGAAAACAAATATTTATATAAATGGTTTGAAATAAAAGAAAAAAGAAACATATAGGATAGAAATGGAGGCATTTCTAGTCCTTCTGGATTTGTTAGGGCTTTTTAAAGGTGGTCACCAAAACCTTTCAGATTATTTTTCAGCTGATGACTTTAGTATAAATATTTTTAGAATAACAATGTCTAAAAGAAGATCTCGATTTCTTATAAGATGTGTCCGTTTTGATAAAAAAATCACACGGCTTTAAAGACAAGCAACAGATAAATTAGCTTCAGTGAGAGATATTTCTAATTCTTTTTTGTAAAAAAAAACATATTATAGGCTAGGAAAAAACACGACAATTGATGAAATGCTGCTCTGATTCCGAGAACGTTGTGGATTTAGACAGTACATACCATCCAAACCGAGCAAGTAGGGAATCAAGATATTCCCTTTATGCGATGCAAAACTTTTTTATACTTATATGGAAATTTATTGCGGGTAACAACCGGAAGGACTTTACAGGCAGAGTAATTCTGCAAATGCAATTGTATGCAGGTTGGCAGAACCAATTTTTGGCACAGGCAGGAATAATACTGCCGATAATTGGTTTACGAGTTTGAACCTTGTAAAAGATCTGGAAAAACAAAAATTGTCTTTCATAGGAACCGTGAGGAAAAATCGACGAGAAATTCTGACAGATTTTGCATTGCCCAAAAATCGCAAAGAATATGATAGCTTATTTGGTTATACTAAATACGAGACACTTGTATCATATGTAAACATATCTAAACAACTTACGTTTCGCCGATGATACACTTATAAAAGCTGAAGATCTAGGTATGGCAAGAGAGATGGTACAGGAACTCGTTGTAGCTACAGAAAATGTAGGTTTGAATATAAATATCTCGAAGACAAAACTCATGACCAATTTGGTGCCCAACCAAAACATCAGTATTGGTGGGAAAGAAATAGAACTCGTAGATAGATATAAATACCTGGGACATGAAATTATGATTGGCAGAGATAACCAGACTCATGAACTGAAGAGAAGAATCGGCTTTGGGTGGACAGCATTTAAAAAACTGAGAGAAACTTTTAAAAGTGAGCTGCCCACATGCCTAAAGAGAAAGGTATTTGATCAGTGCATCCTCCCAGTCTTGACGTATGGAGCAAAGACACTTACCTTAACTAAAGCAGCAGCTACCAAACTGAGAGTCACGCAGAGAAGAATGGAGCGGTCCATGTTATGAATAACTCTCCGAGACAGAATAACAAACGAAGACATCAGGAGAAGAACCGGAGTGAATGATATCATCGAGAAGATAGCCAGACTAAAATGGAGATGGGCAGGACACATAGCCAGAATGACAGATGGGCGATGGACAAAGAGGTTATTGGAATGGAGGCCAAGGGAACACAAGAGAAGCGTCGGTCGACCACCTACAAGATGGACTGACGATTTAAGAAAACTCAATAAAAACTGGATAAGAGCGGCGCAAGATAGACGGGGTTGGAAACATGAGGAGAAGGCCTATGTTCAGCAGTGGACTCTTAAGGCTGGATGATGATGATGTATCATGTGTAACAAAAAAAAACAAGGCAGTTCTATTGTCTAGTTACCATACGTCAAGTTCAGTTGTATCGTCTGACACTGATAAGAAACCGGAGAAAATACAATTTTACAATGAAACAAAATCAGGCGTGGATGTTGTGGATAAATTATGTGTCACTTATAATACAGCAACAGCTACGAAAAGATGGCCTATGGTGATATTTTACCGCTTGTTAAATGTAGCCGGAATTAACTCCATGATTATTTCTTTCGGAAAATGGGGCAGAGTATATTACGAGGCGGATCTTTTTGAAAAATTTGCCAAAAAGTTTAGTAACTCCACATTTACAGAGGAGATCAACAGTACAAAATTTACCGACTAAACTGAAAACTCTTTTCCTTATAAACCTGAACAAGAAGAGACACATGAAAGGGATCGAGCAGCAAATAGTTCAAACCGAAGTAAAAGAAAACACTGTGTAGCTTGTTGCAAAGAAACGAAGAAACAACGCAAGACTAAATATTCTTGTAAAAAGTGTAGCAAATTTTTATGTTTGAGTATCTATACTAAAAAATGTGCCAGGAATGTTTTAGTAAATATTAACGAGATATATATTAAATCTGTAAATCAATATAATACACAGATCTATGTTGTTTTTTTCACTTTAAATATATTTCTATTAACTCCATGAATAGTTTTGTTTTTTTTTGTTTTTCTCCATATCTGGACAATATTACGCATTCAAAATCTGTTTAATTATTTACTTCCTTATAAAATACATTTATTTTTGTTGTAATATTAAAATATTGAGGAAAATGTTTTTAAAAATCCGCTAGTAATTAAATAATTAATCATAGGTCCATTGGACCTACATCGACTAACGGCGTTCGGGCAGGTCGCATTTCAGATTATATTATATGTCAAGAAGATTATACCAATAACACTAAAGAAAACAATGATATATATTTACTTAATTTAAGAGCATAAAAACAATTAAAAACTTACCTGTATATCATTATTGACACTTGCATTTCTATCGGTCATTGCCACAATTGCAACCGCGAGATTATTTCTCGTGTAATAAGCAACAAATACCAAGAAGCATATATTTATAATTTGTAAGTGCCGTTTGCCAATTCTTAAATCTAAAAAAAATATACAAATAATATGTAACTGAGTCTCTAAGATACAAGTTGTTGATAGTACTCAGGAGTGAGTGAAATTTTCGAAAGGATATTACAGTGACAGAATATACAACTTTGGTAATACTGATATAATATGCACTGTTTTTTATAAAATTATTTAGAAGGCATTATGATCTGCCTACAAGGTTTATAGAAAAGGCTGCAGGGAAAATCATACTTCAGAAGGGCTAAAAACTCTTGAATATGCTTCGGTAATATTCCCAATAAGGTAACAAGCAATCATGGTTAGATCAGTATATCAACAAATATAAAATTAAGTAACAAATAATAATAGAATCTCTGAAATGAATAAAAGTTTGGAATGCATTTTACAATTACTTAGCTGTAACTTAACAGTGCAGTAAGAATAATTTTGCTTATAAAACAATTTGTTTTTTGTTCTCATTTAGGTAAAAGAACTAAATAATATGCAAAATAACCCACAGAGCATATTCGATGGTGGTTCCATAAGTAAACATAAAATGAAGAAGCACTTAGTCGTTGCCTAACTTCAAAAAGTTTTAAAATTTTAAAAACTAACAAATATTCTTTATTTTTATTTTCAACTACTTACCTCTGGGACATTTTTCAAAGTGTTCGGATTCAGGTTCGGCGGTATTTGATGCACTAAATGAATAGAGTTTGAATTTGCTAGACACTAATTTACTTTTTGACTTATCCATGTTAGAGTAAAAGTAGGTGAATAAATTATTATTTTTTGTTTAAAACAATCATACTCACTCACGTTTGTGTTATAAATTATTAAAAAGAGATTATTAACTCATTTGATTATCTAAACCAGCGGCGTGCTAGATTCAAAAATCTAACAGAAGTAATTAGTGTCGCTATAAAATTGGTTAACCCTTAACTGTCATGGCCGAAAATAGTAACATTTATACCTTGGTAGAGCTAGATTTGACCCTTTTTTTTTATAAAAAATCTTACGGTAACTTGCTTTTGTTTTGACCTATTCTGTTTACAACTACTTTTACATTTTTATAGAAAAAAAAACAAATTTGGTAAATTTCTTGTAACTTAATTAAAAAAAAAAACTTTGATATTTAGCTTAATTAATATAGCTATGCATTTTCTAGAATTACAAGAAAAATAATAAAAATGTGCAGTTTTCTTACATTAAATAATGAATTCCAGACATCATACCACCTACCTAGAATAAAAGGTATCTTTACCTATTTATTATATCTATTTAAATTTGGTGATTAAAAAATGACAAGCATGTTATCTTTACTTTTTAACAAAACATGCATAGCGTCTTCATGTTGAGCTTTCTTTTAATTTTATGAATATGGATTTTACGCATTCCCATGTTTTTTCTTTGTTGTGACTGTGGATTAATAACAGGTATTGGTATTTAAAGTCCGAAAAATTTACCCTTTGGGCCGTGACGCATTTAAAAATCACAAGAGTGGGCGCATGATAGCACTTAATGCTGCAATTAGAAAAACAAATAAGTTATAATAAAAATCTGCTTGCACACAAAAGGTTAACATATATTTTCGTCATATTTCGCTGTTGTATAATTTCTTCAGCCTCACCTTTCTCTTATTCGCAAAAGTTTACTACCCTATCCTTGACGTCTGACAAATTATCAGCCAAGTCTTGTAACTCTGTGGCCGTCAAATATTTCACAATTTTTTTACCTAACTACTACTTCTAAGATCTTAGACTATCTTTTATGATAAAAAAAACTATATTACTTCAATAAAAGTAATAAATTTGAACACCTATAACTTCAGCGTTAACTCACTGACACCGAAATAAATCATACTACGAGGTGGTATGTATATTATCATCAGTAGCCTAATATAGTGATTTGAGAATAGAGAGCCAAACAAGCGGATGTAACTAATAATATTTTACGGAATCTTGAAATTAATAAAAAAATTGGCATACAGGACCGACAGCCCGTCCACTTAAAGGTTAAAGATGACACTACTAAGTTCTCTCAGTAAACATATTTGATTAACTAGATAAATGGGTATGAATAAGTGGTTGACCCAAAGTGCTTAAATATAGGCTCCTTTTCATTATTTAATTGTGTTGACCTCCATTAGAAATTTACTGCAATTAACATTTTATTCCCGCAATATTTATTATCCGAAACCATATTACTTGAGGTCATCTATGAGTTTTTTGCCAGCTTTCTAGCATGCAAATTTTTTATACAATGAGTCCACTCCACCTTTTGTCTCAAGTAAAAAATTTATAATCTTTGGTTTTCCGTTCTATTAAAATGACGCATAGTTAGTACTTACAACACCGCATGATTTTTTTTAGCAAGATATATAAGGCTTTAGTTTCTTGTAAAAGCAAATAGGACAGAATTAGGGGGCCTGTTTTTTGTAGTTTGAAATTCAGAAGTATTTTTTCGTTTTAGATTTTTTTTTTAAATCCAACATATGTAGCGAACCTTGGCATTAAAAACGTGGAGAATCAAATTTGACCCTGCTATAGTTAATATCTTAAAAAATTACAAATTTGAACCAACCTTTTCGCCATTAAATTCTAAAGTTAAAGAGTAGCAAATGCATTTTCATAGTCCAAAAATGCTACATAAAGTGGTATTTATTGCAATTATTAGATTTTAGAATAGCTCAGTACAACTGCAGAGCAGCTCAGTACAACCCAAAGAGCAATGGAGAGGGCCATGCTAGGGATTAGTTTGAGAGACAGGATTCGAAATAACGTCATTCGTGAAAGAACAAAAATTACTGATGTCTCAGAACGTATTGCAAGGCTCAAGTGGCAATGGGTCGGGCACGTTGCCCGAGATAATCCCGAAAAATGGACACAAAGATTAAAAAACTGAAGACCAAGACAGAACAGGCGAGGAGTAGGCAGACCGCAGAAGAGGTGGACAGACGATATCAAACAAGTCGCGGGCAAGCAGTGGATGAGAATTGCCAAAAGTAGAAATCGATGGAAGCAAATGGAAGAGGCCTATGTCCAGCAGTGGACGAACACAGGCTGAAGAAGAAGAAGAAGAAGATTTTAGAATATTACTTTTATATTAATTACTATTAAACTGGGAATAAGCCACAATTGTTTTAATTAATATAGTTGTAAGATGGTCAACTTTAATAATTTTTTATAGAGATCCAGATTGCTTCTATTGTAATTATCTTGTTTTGCTATTTACCGATTTGTTAGCGTGTTAATAAGTACTAGGTGGTGTGTTAAGTAATCTATTTTAAAAATAAAGACACATTTTTCCTCAAAATCTTTTATTTTATTACCTAGATATTCTTAAGCCATCTCTTAAGATTTGGGAACACCCAATATCTGGATGAGACCAAATCAATAGAATACGCTGAATGGTAAAGTAGTTTAAAGCTTAACTTATCAATTTTTGCCACTCTAATCAATCAATCAGTCTTATCAAAACTCTACAGTTATTGCGAGAACTTTATTTGGCTTCTTGCCCCAATGTTCTCTCGGTTCTCGCTTCTTTTAGGATATTTACACAAAAATGACCTTCTTTTTGCACCTATAGTGCGTTGGCGAATTATTTTAAGGCCAGACGTCTGTCTTTTGCGGCATGCAAAGGTCACCATTTATACCTGTCCAGTTTTTTATGTTCCGTAGCCACGACATTTGTTTGCGACCTACTCCTCTCTTGCCTTCAATCTTTCCCTCTATGATTAGTTGAGGGATTGCGTATTTTTTTCCTCTCAGAATATGGCTGAGGTATCCAATTTTTCGTACCTTGATCAAATTGAGTAGTTCTCTCCCAGTATTTGACTATCTTCTTACTGTGTGTTAAATCTTACCCGCCTCTCCCACGAGTTATTCCATTCTTTTCTACAACCACAATTGCAGTGATATGTTGTAATTTATATATTATTTTACCACAAATAGATATTGATACTGAACGTTAATTTATAAATCAAAATTCAGCATTTTCATTATAAAAAACATTACTTATGACCCAATTTTCTTAAATTTCATCAATACCCAAATCTAAGCTTCTGACCATCATCATCAACATTATCATTCTCATAGTATTCTACCGACTACGGTGCAGCCCCCTTCCATAGTCGTTCTTCATTTCTGCCCACGATTGTCTACTATTCGATTTTCTGTGCAATATTGTACTATTTTGTTTTCTTATCAGCGTAGTAGTGTCTGGGGGCTCGGGAGACTGAGACCTTGAAAGCCCTGACGAAGACATCAAAGAGGATGTCGAAAGTTTGGCGCAATGATAATCGACGCGGTTCAACCCGGAAGACGTTGAGTTTTTTTGTTAGTTAATGAACCCGTAGTAGTAATAATGTTAGTTCTAGGTTTAATTGTACTAACCGCGTAAATATTTCGAATTTCGAAAGTATATATATATATATATATATATATATATATATATATATATATATATATATAAATAAATCCCTTTTATTAAGCGGTATGTTGATGACTTATTACTAGCCTTACCCCCAGACAAGATACAGGCCACCTTCTGTTTGTTTAATGAGTTTGATCCTCACTTACAGTTTACTGTTGAACTTAAGGACCCCATTACCAATAGTTTTCCCTTCTTAGACATGTGTGTCATTAGAATGGGAGATAACACCTTAACCACAAGTTTGTATAGGAAACCAATGGCCTCTAATAAGTTTCACAACTACCATTCTTGTCACACTTTTAAAAATAAATTAAACCTTAATAAAGCTTTAAGCTGCAGACTAAATAGACTAAAACATCCAGTTAATCGAAGGGAATCAGTTTAATTATTCAGAAACTTATTGATTGAGAATTTCTATCCATCTTCCCTCATTAATAAATACTTCTATTTACAAAGTTATGGTTCCTTATTAAATGACACTTCCAATGGTGACCAACTTAAAATAATATCAAATAATTTCATTAATTAAGCCGGAGACAGAACTTCTGTCTCCGGCTTCTATACAACATGTAGCTTCTCCTTTTCAAAAAATTTTAAAGTGTTTGTTTGTGTTTGTGTATTGTATTGTTATGTCCAAATTTACATTTATGACATTCTACTCATGTCGGATAGGCCACAACTGACAGAATGCCCCTGAAGATGATCTATTGATCGAAAGTACTTGGGCAAGATTAATTTAATCACCGTGTTCGATAGTTGCCTTGTATACCGTCAAAATTTATGAATTTATTAATAGTACCACTCTAGAAGCAGATCAGTATGTGTCTGGTAGTGGGGCATATGTCATAATCGACGCGTTATCTTGGTAACTTTAACAATAATAGCTATAAGATATCGTAACGGGTTTATAGAGAAAATAATGTCGTGCACTAGTACTATAACTTACAAATTTTATCTGTATTTGTCAACGATAATAGCCGTAGTCACGGTTATAATGGATAAGTTAGCACGGAACTACGGGTGGATTGGTCATTGTGTTCTCCGGACATAAATTGCATCAAATACCTAAGGGCGCAAGTATTCATCATAATTCTGGCTTTACAACCCTGCGTGGGTCCTAGCCTCCTTAAGAATTTCTCTCCAGTCGTCCTTATCCATCGCCTTTCTCCGCCAAGCACGTATTTCCATATTTCTCATGACTTCATCGATGTTATCAAGGAACCTTATTTTGGGTCTTAATCTTCTTCTCTGACCAATGGGTCTATCAATAAGCGTTTTTCTAGCTAGGTCATTTTGTTCCATCTGCGTTACATGCCCTATCCA